AATGTGAGGCACTCTCCTGCCTCTCAGAAATCCGCCTTTTTCTTCTTGGGTCACTGGGTATAAAGAAGCCAAGGTGGGAAATGTACTCATTGTTGTCAAAACTTCACAGCAAAGGCCATAGAATTTAGGGCTAGAAAGAGCCTTGGACACATTGTACTGTGTGGCGCAGCCTGCTCTTTTTGTAACTAAGGCAACTACACGGTTTAGAAAGGTTAGAGGTGGCAATGGGCAGAGCAGGGACACTGAAGAACCCTGGTGACTCACCACAGAGGCAAAGCTGTGGTTTCACTTCCTAGGGTGCCAGTTGCCCCCCCACTGTGGGTGGCGCTGACCTTTCACGAAGAGCCACAGAGCCACAGCTCTGGGGCTCCGGCACTGACGGTTCCATTGATGCCAGGTAGCCCAGATTAGAGAATACATCAGGCTTAAAGCAACTAAGAAGGCATGAGTCAACTATTTTTGTTTTGTTTTTAGGTAATTTTCTCTTCACCTCAATTTTTTTTTCTTTTTTTAATTTTAGACGGGGTCTTGCTGTGTAGTTCAGGCTGGCCTTATACTCACTGCATAGCCCAGGCTGGCCTCAAACTCATGGTGACCTTACTGCTTCAGCCTCCTGAATGCCTCACTATGCCTGGCACCTCAATATCAAGTTAAATGGTGACACACTGCTTCCAGAAAGTGTTTCAATAATAACTAAAGGTTTAATTGTGGTTTTCCAAAGAAAGTGTTATGCTATCACTTTGTTTCCTTCTAATAACACCCAACAAAACTTGTGTTTTGTTTGCGCGTGGATTTAAGTCTTATTCACCTACCTCTTTCAGTAGATCATAGGTGTCTAACTGGATAGCAACATCTTATTCATCTTTTAATACTCTATTATGTTTAGCACAAAGCTTTGCTTGTGGTAGCTGTTCAATAAGTATTTACTCAGCTGTATTCTGTGTGTTTTTATTTTGATACATAACAGCAGGAAAGATGCAGCAATACAAAAAGTTTTTGTAGTTCAGGAAAAGTAACTCCAGGCTCAACAGCCATGATTCATAAATACTGGCGCTGCCCGTCACCATTTTATCACAGGAAGGTCTGTCCTGAGAAAGCCATAAAAAACCAGGTCTAAAAACAATGAGGAGGGTTCACTTTGTTTTGTTTTTGAACATATTTTTTTATAGAGATTTATTATTTGCTCTAAGGGAATAATCATGTTACTATAAGTAAATAATTTTAGCTACATTATTAAGCAATTCTGTCAGCGGATTTTATCATATTCCTAATTCAGCACTATTTTTATCTGACCACATGACAATTCCTAGAAGACATAATACTTGAGATAAGTCTAGAGAAATATGCCAAGAACTCAGAAACCATACAAACTTTTAAAATTTAAATCCCTGTCCCTTGTACCAGTTGCTCACAAGATGAAGTAGACTTTTTTTAGCTAAATAATTAACTTGGGTGTATCACATGTAGATTTCCTAATTTCTTCAATTTTTTGTATTTAAACAGAGAGCAGCAAAGATGATGTTGTATATCTTTACCAAACATGATGGAAAAACGCCTGGATATAACTATCTTTACTGCAGCAGCTAAGTTAGCTTTCGCAGCATTATTACAAACCGACCATGTTACTGTTTACTCCATGAACATTTACGAAGGGCCTACATTCTGCTCATTGGCATCTGACCTCTAGTGACACAAATACAGTTTTTTCTTTCAACAAGAGTTTGTCCACTAACAAAAACTATTGGTGCTTTGATGAAAATGTGTGAAGCGTAATTCAGGTACAGGGGTCTATAAGTAAAGAGGTAAATTTACATTTAAATTGAAGGAAACTGGGGAGCTTTCTGTTAGGAGGAGAAGGGGAAAAGGATGAGAAAGAGAGAAAGAGGGGAAGAGCAATGATCTGGAGGTGATTCTGAGGGCTGGAACTCTGGACGAAGGTGGCAGGTAGGGTACATCTGATGGAGTTCCGGAGAGCTACGGGGAGGCATAGAGATGGATTTCTTTCTAAAAGCTTTGCTCTTTATGAGCTAGGCCTCATGGACCCACTGAGAGTTTTTCATCAGGAAATAACATGACCCAATCTGTGCTTTCAAAATTCTCTCCGGGACAGCACTGTGAGGGTACACTGAAGATGTGTAACTCTCGTGATCAGTGAGAAACGTCTCAGTGAAGGAAGTGGCGCTGTGGCAGACGGGGTGGAGATGCTTCCCTCCATTGCTACGCACTAAGGAGCAGCTAGTACATGTAGACCTTTTCTTTGGATGGAGATTTGAATTAGATGTTAATGTAGGTGGAAGAGATCAGTGTAGGATAAGATGATTCCCTAGTTTCTGTCTTGGCAATAATAAGATAAGGTTTGCAGGAAACAGGTAGATATAGGAGAAAACCTCACTGACTTTTGCCTAAGTGACAAATGCTGTATAGGGTCTCTGAGACATATGGTATTTAATGACCAGCTATACACGTAGGTCTAGAACTCAGCAGATGAATGTGAGCCAGACAGAAATACTGAGTTGTGATAATAACTGTAGAAGATCTCAAAAAGCTGTGACTTTGTCCAATAAGAATGTGTAATGGGTAAAGAAAATGTCTAGAGGTTTACTATTTGGCTAACTCAACTGGTACCTTGAAAATTCAGTTTATCATCATTTCTCTAAAGTACCCTATGAGACAGTTGTATAGGAGTCAATAATCTCAACTCTATACCTTCAATTTTGGGCATAGGACATGTATTTTCCTATAAGACCTTGGGACTAAAGATACTGAAGAGTTAAAAATCTCATTCTCTGAGATGTAACTGCTGGCTATATGAACAAATTAGAAGCAATAGGTATTGTTTGCTTGAATATACAGAATTAGAACTTAAAATTGATGCTACATAAAAAAGGAGAAAAAACAACATAGGGACTTTGTTACTATTAAGCAGGTGCAAAAGAAGTCAGACACATTCCCTGCAAGTAACCATAATAAAACCAGAGGAATTGTATTACACTGTATTCTACAGGCTCCATCCTAACTATCTGATGTAATCACTGTCAAAGTGTTGCTGACTATTTTGAAGAAAATGACGTGAAAAGCAACTAACACGAATTCTGGGATTCCCACTTGGAGAAGGGTATGTACTTATCAGGAAGTCTAGTACCTGGGTCCCAGTCACAGAGCAGATACACCACAGTCTAGGGTGGCTGAGCTGAGGAATGTTTTCTTTTAAACGTTGCCCAAGCGATTCCAATAGGCAGCCCGTTCTTTTAACCTTTGCATTCAGTACAGCGGCAGAGTGAGGGGAAAGAAGCAAAGCTGGCACTGCGTTCTAGAGAAGACCTAAGAAGCTGTAATACATTTGTGACTTTCAGAAGGTGATGGAAAGGACCTGAAATGTCCTACTGAAGTATTCATGTCATTGACTGAACCTTCATTAAAATGTACCCATTTTAGCTTTTGACTATCTACCCTAAAGAAAGACTTTGAAAACAATCAACACATATAAGGACAGGGAATGAACCATGTAAACTAGATCACAATATGATTATAAATAACTTCAGAAGAAAAAAACCAAGTGATAGCTCAACACCTATCTCTAAAATAAGAAAAATTTTCAGTGTCTTACGAGTGCAAATCATTTTAGTCATTTCAGAAAAACTACTTAGCCATATCTGTTTGTAGACATTTTACAATTATTAATATATATGGATATACAATATTCAGATCCAAGAAATATCTCAGATGATAAAATTACCCAGTATATTCCTGAGAACTTTTTATGGATTTCTGGAGACAGGATGTGATAACTTGATCATCCGCCAATCATATGTGTCTACACTCTTTTCCTTCCCACATGCTAGAAGAGAACTGACATTAGCAGCCCTAGAAAATGCAGTGTTTACTCTACTATAAATCCAGAAGCCAGAAAGAGCCAGTCTGTGTTTGAGGACTTCTCAGGGCTGCAGGAGTTCAAAAGTTGAGGAAGGACTGGAATGTGCCGACAGTTACATTAGTCATTTTCTGCCAACTATCCTTGGTTTATTAGAACAGAACAGTCTTTTCATTAAACAGTCCCTCCGCATGTTGTACTGTACACCTTTCTTAGCACATTTTCCACTTTGCTGCATAGCTTACTACATTATGTCTTGTCTATCTTCTGCTGCTGTTTACCTCTGGTTTTCCCTGGGCTTAATGACACCTAGATTTAGTATTCCAGAACAGAAACTAAGTAAATGAACGAGTGAAAAAAAGATGGGTGAATGAAAGCATAAGTGAGTTCATGAATAATTCCCGCATCTCTTTGCCAATTTATTGTGCTGGCAACAATATCAAATTAGTATAGTTGGTTTTCGCTTGTTCACTGAGAAATTTCTATATGTGGGGCACTGAGGACTTCAGGTCAAAGGCATAACATCTGTTCTCGAGGGGCTAGAAGCATAGGCAGTTTAAGGATTTCAGTTCCCAGCATAAATGTGTTAGATGCATCTCAGTAACTGACAAATACACACTAAATGAACAGTTAATGTGAAGTACTGGTGTCCTTCATAAGCAAAGATTAAGAGCATTTAAAGACTATTTGTGAGACCGATCCCTGGTACCTCCAGTTTGGCAACTGCAGAGTAAAAAAGTATTCTATGAACTAGGCTAGAAAGTGGATGGAGTTATGGGATGCTTGGCTGAAAGAAAAAGGTGGGACTTCCACAGAAGAAAATCCTGCATACAGGGTGAGGCAGAAAGTATGCTAGAAGCCGTGGGTTCCTTCAGCTAAGGTGTTTCTAAGAACATAGCCCATGAAAAATTTGGAGGGGACAGACAATAAAATAAGAAGGAACGAAAGAAACAGGACGAAGAACACCCAAATGAAAAGCAATTAAATTTCTTTAGTTTTCTGACCCATGTTATGAGGACAATGTAATTAGATGCTTTCAGAGGTTCCCAATCAAGAAGACACAGCACTTTCTGACATTTTTCTGGGAACCTCTTCCGAGCGAAAACATCAGAGAATGGAATATACGTACTCGTTCTTGTCCACCTTCTCACGGAGCTTCTTTAGTTGCTTACTTTGGCTGAATTTCAAATTCTGAATTATGTTCTCAAAGTATTCATCTTCTCTGTAGTTCAACTATATTACATAAAAGATTTTGGGAAAAACATTAAAGCCAGTATCTTCAAAACTTTTGCCAAACAACATATCTTCTTAAATTTTGTCAGTTAATAAGGTTAGACCGTGTTTAAAATATACCCAAGAAGGGCTTAGCTCTAATTAGCCCCATTCTGTTTTATAGGTTAGGAATAGTCTAGCTGAATTACAACCTCAGTCTATATTTTAATCAACCAAACGAAACCAAATGTCAGGCCAGCCTCTCACAATATTGTACTAATCCTCACATAACAGACGAGTGTCTCAGCACATTCCTATTTAGAACCAACTACAGGCCCAGCACTGTCTCAGCATTTTAAAACACTCATGTAATCCTTACTATAATCCTATGAACGAAGGACTGTGATCATCATTTTAAAGTTGAAGACACTTCATCACTTTCCCGAGTTTATAGAAGCGGTGGAAATTAAATTTGGCTTTGAGTCCATGCTCTTAGCCACTACATCCCTCTCACAAGGGCCCCTGGGGCCTGCAAGGTCTACACAGAGAGAGAGAAAGCAACAGAAATCAGATTGCTCTGCAAGAGGAAAGAGCACAGAGCACTTCGACTTGGAAACCTCTGTGTTAGGCTGACCGACAATAGATGATGAGCCGCCATCCTCCCTGGATTTAGGCAAGGACCATCCTGCCATCATTACGGTATCAAGTAGTGGTGGCCATCCAAAGTTTGCAGAGGATTTCTAGCTGAGTCTGAAACCGGAGCTACAGTGACATGGACCAACTCTCTTCTCTTTTAACTGTTACACCATGAGGCAAGAATAACATGGTTTCTGGTTTTCTAATATCAGATTTGCTTTTGCTTTTGTATACAGGAGGCATGATCTAGCTTATGCGATGGGAGGAATAATTGGAAAGTGCAATAAAACCAGAGGCTTGGACTTTCCGACCTGTACAAAGCGGTGGGAAGGAGGCCAAGCTCTGTCTGCTGTTGTGCATCACCTGGATGTCTAGTCTCGGTGCTCTTTAAAGCACATCAGATTTTCCTTACTACTCTTCAGATGGAGCATATGGAAACCAGGGCAATAAAACCCAACACAGTCCCCTGAAACAGAAGGCTGAGTAAGAAATATGGTATTAGCATCCATGGTAAGGTTCCACATCATAAGGCCCACCGTTTCAGGCTAGCTCACGTAATTTCGGGCATCCTCTAGCTAGAAATGACACTGCCGCCAGCCCCAGGTAGCATTAGCCAGAGCCTTTGTAGAGACTTACCTCAACGTATTCATTATTCAGTTTGTTATCGTTTGAAACAATGTCATCAGGGTAGCCTATCCTTTCTTTAATTGCTAAGGCCTGTGGAAATTATAATATTAAAGATGAGGATGATTACATAAGTTTCAAACACAAACATTCTAATTTGCCCCAGATGGGCAGTTGAATAACACGCTCTACATGGTTTACAAAAGGAATATCCGACAACACGCAGCCAGACTTCTTTGCAATGGATTTTTCCTTGGATTAAAAAAAGTTTAAAATTTAGCTTCCAGTGCTGTGCTCTTACAGGCTCAACTTTCCCAAGAAAACAAAAATGAAAACTGACAGAAGTCATTGCTTCACATATACTGCGTTTTTATGAACTTTTCTCTCTGAAGGATTGCTCTCTTTAATTTTATAGCAGAGGTAATATTTAGAGCTTCCATTCTTGCAAGATACAATTATCTCTCTGCTTCACTGATTTGGTGTAGAAAACAGTTAAGGGCTTTCACAGGTTTAGAGCTAATGCTCTTTCTGAACATTGGTTCCTGGAGTTTCTGGACTTTTTATTTTGCAGTTTTCTTTTTCCTCCAAAGTCTGTGTACCTATCTACAAGGTAAATGAGTGACATTTTAAAGAAGCGAAAAACAGTTTTTCTTTTTACCCTGGCTCATACGATACCCTTACCATTACTATTTTATTTTTATTATTTTAAAATGACTTTGCTGGGCTGGGGATTTAGCTCAGCGGCAAAGCGCCTGCCTGGCAAGCGCAAGGTCGTGAGTTCGGTTCCTGGTACCAGAGAAAAAAACCAAAAAACCAAAAAAAAAAAAAAAAAAGACTTTGCTTACTTTTATTATTTATTATGACTTGCTTACTGCTTGTTATTTCCATTTTTATTTTTTTTTATTTCTCTCTCATGTTGGTCACAGATGTTTCAGTTTTTATTTATTGTATCTTATTGCTCTTAAATGATTTAATTAATTAAAGATCGCCATGGAGAATGAAGCTTTCACCTCTGTCCACTTCTTACAAGTTTCCATGTTATCCACTCCTTACACATCAGTCCTTTCTCAGTGCAGCTTTATTTCCTGGAAGATATTTTCCCTTAGCATATTCTCAGGGACACAAATTTTACAGGAAGTAAAGGGTACTACACAAAAAGGTTTGTTGTCAAATACTTTGGGTAAATACTACACAAAACAGGCACCTTTCCTTATTGCAAGACTTCTTAGAATTTGAAAATGGTTAGTTTCTAAGGTTAGAATCTAAGTTTTGTGTATGTGTCCAAGAAGATGAATGAATTTATGAATTTATTCATAAAAAATATGTTTTAAGTACCCTGCAAGAGTCAGGTACTGTCAAGGACTAAGGATGCGATGCTAGGCAAAATTTTCTATACCCCATAGCTTGCTGAAAAGAGCCATGGTGGGCAGTGACATAAATAGAAACATATTTTGGTCTGGTGCCGGCTGATCATTCCCTAGAAGCATATTACTTAGCCCAGGGGGGGATCAGACAAGCTTCCTATAGGAAGTGTTTCTTCAACTCTTTTGACTATGGGACTCCTCTGTGGAATAACGTGCAGGTACAGTGCTTTGTGACACACTTTGGAAATGCAGATCTAGAAGAATTCAATTGTCACATCAAACCCAGCTGTGTCATAGGCAGCTAAGACACTAAAGAAGCAATATGACATGAATGTCTGAGGAACTGGCAAGAATGACGGAAAGACAGTTGGACCTCTGGGCCTAAATTCTACTCCTAACCCCTGCATCTTAGGGATCTTTTCAGAGCTGATAAAAAGGACACCATTTCCATTTGGTTTAAAGCTGAATGAGAACTAGACCAGAGGTTGATTATCATAGGTTTATTATGGACTCCCATATTAGTCTAAAGAATGTCTGTTCTTTTTTCCACCTTAACTATAGGAGAACAGTCAGAATGGATGTTGCGGTCAAAAGCAGGTTCATAGCTTTCATAGAACATGTTCCCCGAAAATTTTACATAATTCTTTTTTTTTTTTTTTTGGTTTTTCTCCGGTACCGGGAACCGAACCCACGACCTTGTGCTTGCCAGGCAGGTGCTTTTGCTGCTGAGCTAAATCCCCAGCCCCTACATAATTCAAAAGACAAACAGATATAGTAACTTTAAGCTTAATACTTCCTTAGAAATCTTATTCATATACAAGATATTAAAAATTTCAATAAAAGCTGCTCATTAAATGTAGATAGAAATAAATGTAAAAAGTATCCCTTTAATCATATACTTTATAACACATAAATGATATACCATCTTATATTTACTTTAACAGAAATTTAATACTTTTTTCTCCTTTGGTCATGCAAAAAACTAGGATATGTTTTAACAGTTTAACTGGAATTTTACATTATAAATTAAGAGGACATGATTTTGACCCACTGGATCTTTTAGATTATTTTTGGTAGAAGGATAAAATATATGAACCACTGGTATGTTAGCCTTTATTTCTTTATTAATTCACATAACATTTCCCTCGTTTTCTAAAGTCTTCCTTTAAAGAAAGGAATAATTACATATGGATGATGCTTCCTGCAGAGATAAAGGACGGAAATCATTTTTTAAAGTTTTTATCCATGAAAATTGTCCCACGAAACATTACATCCTGAAGGAACTTGAAATTTTTATAAACAATCTAGGATTACATTTTTTCCTACATGTGTTTAAAGTTAAACTTTTCCTATAAAAAGTTGTACTTTGATAGACCTTCTGGTCCTTACCTTTTCTTCAGCTTTCTTTTTTGTTTCTGTATCCATCCAGGAGAGCTCATCTAAAGTCTGAATAAAAACTTTCCGGATCTGTGCAATCAAATCTTCAACCTCAAATGCAAAGTGCAAAAGCCAAATTAGACCATCCATTAAGTCTTTGTAACAACGATTTTAAAAAGAAGAGCTACATGCTATGTTTATACGATGCAATATGTTAATAAATGTAAAATTATAGACAAACTGAAATTCAGGTCAATAAAAGTATAGGATCATTATATTTTAAAACAATACTGCTATTATCAACATTTCTGATTAAATAGGTCCTAAATATGTGCATTTTAATTTTAAAAAATTATCTTTAGAATGTAATGATCCCCGCCATCATTATAAGAAGAAACAGTATTAGCTATTATTACCATTAGTGGTTTAGTTAAGCGTAAAGTAAAATTTTTCAACATGTCATTAAGTTCCACTGTCTTTGTTTCAGTAACACTGAAAAATGGAGTACGTTTCTTACCCTTTAAAGCCTGATTTATTTTCTAGGTATTTAAGACAATGTTAATGTTTGGCCAATTTGGAGAATAAAAGTTTATAAATGACTACTCAATAGCACATGTGACTGGGTATTCTAAATACAGTGCATCTGGAGAATGGGCAGTTGGTTTTGAATTAAACAACATGAGGAACCAAAACCATAATCAGACTCTTGAGGGATAGGAGGTGAGATTTATTAGTGAACAATTACATAGTATTATTTGGAGGTTCTCTAATTAATAAAATTTCAGCCAAATTATGGACGATCATAATTGCCCATGAGCGGAAACAAATGAAGAGTGCGCTGCGGAGTTGACGACGTATTGTGTTGAAAACATTACCACATGTTTACTCTCTCCAGCAAACGCCGCTCTCACATAAAGCCTTCCCACAGCATTTTCCATATTCCCATTGACATAGTTTGCACAGCGTCTCCAAGTTGCCGTTTCTGATGTTGTTCCATAAAGGGCCTATAAAAGAGAAAAAGGGAAATGGCCAGGAGTAGAGGGTGGGAGCACAAATTCCACATGACTCCATTCTTTACGTCTCCTCTAAATCCTGGCACACTCATCAGTCCTCCTCACAAAGCAGGTGTCCCTAGCTCACCATATAGTACAACCTGATACTTAAAACGCGATCTAAAAACAGGGTATATTTTCAGAGGCATGTCCCAGTACAGCTTTTGGCTATCAGCAGTTAATAGCCTTCTAGAAAGCTTTAGGAAAAAAAATACAACATTGTACCCACTGCATAAATATAAATGTGAAGTAATGCCCAGTAAATGTAACAGGGGGATATCTTACCCACAAGAAAATGCATTTCTGCTTTTTAATGCTTTAACTGAACTTCAAATACTTTACCAAAACTAAATTGTATAAATTTAAGTATAGATGAGGGAATTGATGTAAGGGAAATTTAGCATAGTTACATTTTTATGTTCCCTAACTTTAGAAATGTGTCTACGCATTCTTTTTAAGGTTTAAAAATGGGAATTGTGGACCACTCACAGTTATTTTCTTTCCAGGATAACAACCAGTAGGTTAGCTAGAATTTCTCCTCCCTCAATCCCTCCTGTCCATTCCCCCGACAGTGAGACTACAATGCTGACTGCTTAAATAACAAAGGAACAGCCTAAGTAAAGGCTCTAAGTCTGCACTGCCAGGTGGGTGTCCTCTCCAGGGACTGTCTGCATCACTGTAGTCCATCTGTGTGTACTTCCACTGTGCTAAGAGCGTCTGAAAATCAAGTTAATTGAGAAAGACACCCCTAGAATAGCTTGAAACACAACAGCAACAACAACAACAACAACAGTAATACATCGATGCAGCATTCTTTCCTGAAATGTTCATTTAACCAATGGTAACTCCTTACAGGGCTTGTGATCAGAATGCCACGGTAATCACCAAAAGATGGCACAGGCAATGATGACTGACCTCCTTCCTAGGTGACATATACCTTAAATGTGTGCAAAATAACCCAATTTGGCACTGTGTCTTTTGCAAAGTTCACCACTTTCTAGCAGTGTACATGGTAAGCCTTCGTAGCCATGTATTTCTTTATGCTTTAAGTCTTAAGAAAAGAGAGATTTTTTCTTCACCTTGCGGAAAGCATTTCTGGACTCCTTGTAGGTTCGGCTGAGGCTGCTTACAAGATCCATTATGAACCTCCAGGACATTAAATTTTGAAGATCTCTGTATAAAAAAACCCACCACCCAGCAACAGAAAAGATGAGGCTGCAAAGCTTCTAAAGAGCGACATGAAATGTAAACTTTGAGGACATGGGCAGTCTGACATACCTACCTGGCAGAATATTTGGTAAGAATGGGCTTAAGTTTGACTAAATATTCTGGAGCGTATACAACCACCTCTTCCTCATTTGGGATATTAATATTCACAGTTGACATGATCTCATTTGTGAAATTTGACCAGCTGAATGGCTGGGAAAAAAGCAGGCATAAAACATTAAGTAATTATGGAATGCTTTTTCTTTGTCCCACGATTTTGTTACAGTGAGGTCAGACGTCACAGGGTGTCAGCTGCAACACTACATAATTATCTCAATAGTCAGTTTTTTATTTGTTTGAGATTTTCCCCTCATTTTTCAATCGGCTTTTGAATAAATACTAGTTCTGCAACATGTTATTTAGATAGCAGAGTTATACCAACCATCTAAGAACAAAAACAAAGCTTCTAAGCTTTGAGAACATACAAATTAGAAACTAGCTCAGTGTCTTCGTATTCTAAACAATATTTTAAAAAAGAAGAAAAAGAAACAGCTTTAAAAATAAAGCTTCTTTCATTTATGCAAAAACGAAAACATGCATTAAGTGTTGGCCTTTTATAAGTAGGTGTTAATAAACTGTTCAAACACAGCAACACACCTCAGCGGCGCTCCCGCCACAAATGCTAGCACAGTTATAGCAGAGGCTTAGTGTTACGAAGCAAACACAAGACCACATTTTAAATAATTACTATTGGTCTATAAGCATCCAGTTTTTGTACTTCAGAAGCTAATTTACAGTGGCAAACCGATGGACTCTTGCTTGCTACTCCTTAAATGAGAATTGAGAGCATTTCAGATTGTTAATATTTTACTCTGTCTAGATACACACAAAGATCATTTATTAAGTAGGAGGTACAATGCTCTATCCTTGACTTCTTTGATGGTTTGGACCACTTTTTCAAAACATATTTTTTAAACACACACTATATTAAAAAGTGTTAGGTAAGAAATGTCTAATTCAATAAGTTACACCTTTTTAAAAAGTCCTTGTTTTCTAGTATTAGAGTGAAGGAAAATTCTATCACTGCCTTTGATAGCTCATACATTTTCTCTGTGAATATTGCTTCTCTTCCCAACTCAATGCATTAGCTAATATACCAGAATAAATTAGGAGACCAAAAAAAAGAGATTATTAGATAATCAAAAAGAAGTCTATATTAGACTCTATGAGACAGTTTCTTATTTTTGTATTCGATTTTTCTGTTATTTTTCTGAGCACTGTACATGGCCTTGATGAGAATATGGAAAGTTCTACAAATATATTATCCTCTTTTAGGAGTTACAAGGAAATTTAGTGTTTTATTATTTGACAGCCCAAGTCAAATGACTCTATAATGGACTCTGAAAATTTTTTTCCAAACCCTTTTCTACAACAATTTCTGAAATTATTTTACATCTGTCTTGAAAAGAATTTGACCATTCATTTTAATTAAATATACACGTTTTTAAATATTCCCCCAACCATCTTGTCACGAAATCAAATGTCTGCTGTCATCTAAATTCATTCTGCAATTCCATTTATTTCAACAAGTAAATAATTAATGACTTTTAAAAACAGTGTTTTACTGTTATAGTTTTAGGCAATGACAGGGTAATAAGCTACATAAAACTTGCTACTTACCTTTCCATTGATCTCCAATGAAAAATTATTTTGGAGCTGAGTCAAAGTCATTTTGTTATAAAGAAGCATTGGGTCATTGCGATCTTCCGATTTAGTTGTAGCCTATGGATATAATTTTTGATCATTAATTTAAAACGAGGAAAAACGTAAATTTATGTGAGTTACAAAGAAATACAGGATAGGCACAGCACAATTTGATTTAAGTTCTATTTTGTATTCATTTTGTAATTTATTTTGGCATATCAAGAAGTGAAACTTAAAAGATTTTATGTATGCAGTATGATTAAAAATACAGTGAAATTTTATTAAAAATTCATACAGTAAAATATACATTGCCCTGGATAATTGCCCCTGGATTTGAACACACATGTATCATCATTTTTGCCACTTTTTGAAGGAGTCCTGGCATTCCTCTCTTGTGTCTTTAGTTGCATTTTCATGGTGGCCTTGGTGCTCTGAATCTGCTTTAAAAGTTTAGCTTTCATGGTCATTCTGACATTGAGGAAGATCCAGAGTTTCCACCGTGCAGATCTGGTGAGAAGGCGGGTGAGGACACACTGTGTGTTTTCAGAGCTTGTCTCTCTGTGAGGTGGTGCTGGCCAGCGGCATTCACCACATTTGCTCACACCTTGTACAGCCGCTCAAAACAGGACTCAAACAACCTCTTCAGAAAGTGGCAAGAACGCTGGCATAACGTGTAAAGTGAGGGAAAGTATTCTGAAGAATCATTTAAAAAATTTAAATATTGACTATATATTTTGATCACTCCATGTATATTGAGAAACAGTTATAGAGATTTGGCTTCATGTCCAATTTAAAAATCGTCAAAAATCTTTTCATTGGGCATGATGATGTGTGTCTGTAAATCCAGCACTCTGAGAGGCCAGGGCAGGAGGACTGCGAGTCTGAGACCAGCCTGCATAACCTAGGAACTTAGTGAGACCCTGTCTCAAGATAAAACCTAAAAAGGTATGGTAATGTCGCTCACTGCAAAAGCCCTAGGTTCAATGCCTAGTGACACACACACACACACACACACACACACAACCTTTTCATATTTTCATATCTGCCAAGCCATGTAAGCAATACTGCAGGCCGTGGCTGATGAGCAGCTCAGTTGTGCCTGTAACTATTTTATATTGTAACCTTTTTGGATACGGTCACCTCTATCTCATCTCTCAAACACTCTGTCTCCAATACCCATCTTATCATTCAATGCCCTGGTTAAAATTCAGCTGTAATAGTTTGCACAGTAATGTATGGCAAATAACACAGAAAATTCCTAGTATATAGCACAATCGGGTTGCAGGTTAGCTGAGAAGAATGGTAATGCTTTCTACTGTAGTGACTGTCTCTGCATTCTGCCTAACTAGCTTCATGTTCTGTACTCAACAACATCCAATTTTATGCTTTACATTGAATCTAAAGAGAAAAGAAAATAGCAAGTCCCTATCTAGTGTTTGAAATGAATAGAAGAAATTTAAGTGAGGAGGGACAGAAGGTGAAGGTTTAAAGATGGGTATTATTACTTAATGACAATATTTAATATCCCCTTTAAGTACTGTATCGGTTTACTCACTAAAACAAAACAATTACTACAGAACATTTCCTGCATATAAAACAATGCTGGACCCTATGTGAGACACAGATGATGCCGAGACAACTAAAACCCCATGCCAATCTCAGAGTCTAAGATAGGGGAGAAAATATAGGAACAGATAGTTCTAAGGTAAAAATTAAACCACCTCCACAGCTCCAAGGCTGGTCAAAGGAAGACACAGGCTAGGGAAATAGGAATGGTGAAATCCAGGCAAGAAACTGTTCTCCTCCCACAGTTCTGTTCCCAACACACAACCACATATAAACCACCGAACTGCTTTTCATCCAGCTGCAGTTCCAAGCAGTCTTGCTGTGATTAGGGACTCCTGGTTCCCTGCAGCCCCAGGAAAGCTAGAATTGCTTTCCACGATCTTCACTCTTCAAGCCTCTGGTGAGCATAGAGAGTAGTGGTGAGCAGAGGAGCATCTAAGGGTGACTGTTATTGTTTGGCAATTCCAGAGGACTCTGTGGGTTCTACACTAAATCTGTGCATGAGTTCTGTCAGTAACCTGGGTGTCACTTAGAGTATGCTTGCTTAGGACTGAAGGTTTTTATCAAAGAACATGAGAAAAGAAAGTGCCAATGCACAGTCCAAGGGTTTATGTGAGTCAGCAGAGCTGCAGAAATATATTGTCGGCTTTCTCACTCAGTTCTTCCCACCTGACCCTCCCTGAGCTCACCAGTTGACAGTCTGAGCTCAGAAATATCACACTGCCCTACGACCATGCTCGGGGGCTAACCCTGCTTAGCACAGGGATTGGGATGATCTTTGTGATCACTTTAAATTTTAAAATAAACTTATTAGAAAAACTAAAACAGCTTTGTATGTGTCATCAGTCTCAAGGATATCTAACAACAGTTTGACAGTAAATGGTAAGAGTTTGTTGTAATCTACTTATAGTAGGCAATTAAGTATACCCAGTTTAATATGTGTCGAATTTAGTGTGTCTCTTAGATGTCAGGAATGTAATTTACTATACAATTCTAGTTTCAAAGATTCTCTTGAAGTCAACCATCCATTACCATGCTATGCTTTTCTTATCCTTTGGTTAGAGTTACACCTTTACCCTTAAAATATAATAGAGAGGCACAGGAAAAAAAAAACAGTTGACATTATTCAGGACATCAGAAAAATGTGTTTTACATTGGCAATTTCTTTTTCCAATTCCATAACTTTCTTCATTTCCAAAGAAAGTAGGTTTTCATCAACAGGCAATCCTTCTTCTTGACGAATCAATTTGGCCACAGAAATCATAAAATCCACATATGCTTCACAAGCCTGCAAGAAATAAATAATGAATTGGTGGCTAGCCTAAATATTCATGATGGTACTTTAAGTTAAAACATTTTTCTCAATTCAGTATTAATTTTTGGTAGCAGAGAAAGCACAAATAGAAATATTTTCCTAAGTTCTAAAAGAAATGACTTGCACAGGTTCTCAGAAGGTCAATGTATATTTTAATTAGAGCATAAAGCAGTGCAGAGAAGTAGCACTTGGAAAATCCTGAGTAATTTAGAACCATTTGGTTATGGAGATTATGCAATTTTCAATTTGCAATCAAGTTGTTTTCTTTGTAAGAATGCAGTTACAAAACACTCGATGAGCAATTATATTTTCCTTAAATAATAACATATTCCTTCACTCAATTTGCTTTTCTAGGCTCTCTGTGCCCATACATAATTATTTTTTCAGCTAGTCATGAAGAGACGCCCGCAAATTCATATAATGTGATCAGGGTATCTTTATAACTGTCTCCTCAGGTCAAGCAGTAATTTTTCATGAGGTTACTCTTGGATCTGCTCCAGCCCATGCCTGAGGGGTTTACCTAATTCCCTGGTGCTCCCATTACTGGCAAATTGTACTACATGATAGGTTTAGAATTCAGATTTCTTTTAAGAACTCAATTTCTTTATAGTTTATCTTCATATATATTTTAGTGTATAAAAGTAAACTATAAACTAGTTATATTACCAGCCTTTTACAGAATATATAAACATCTTATTTAAATTCAGTGACATTAAACCAGCAAATCTTGTTCCACTTTTGTTACATCTCAACAATTGCTACATATTAGCCATTACTATCCATCATCAATTAAAATAATGATCTTATCTAAATTTATCCAAAATTTAAGGTCCTGACATCAGCTTTACTACAGGCAAGACAAGCAACTATGATCATGAAAAACAGGCCCTGTAACTTGGAGATACATGCTTTTTTTATTTTTATTTTTATTTTTTTTTTTTTGGTTTTTCTCCGGTACCGGGAACCGAACTCATGACCTTGCACTTGCCAGGCAGGCGCTTTTGCCGCTGAGCTAAATCCCCAGCCCCACATGCTTTTTTTGAGATTGGCAGCAGGGTATTTTATGTCCCTAAGTATAAGGGGCAGCCTTACATTTATTGTGAGTGCAAACACATATTTGAATTTATAGTGGCTAAACCTAAACTGGTGGGGAAATGAAATACATTACCAAGCAAGAACCTAAGCAAAATGTCTCAATAGCCAATTTGAAAGTCTAGAGGTTTACATATTGCCATTTGGTGACCTTTATTAAATGCTATCAGACAGTTCCCTGCAGACAGGAGCCCGTTCTTTGCATGAACACGTAAAATGCTAGAACTTGCTGTATCTCTATCCACGGATCTGCTACTCAATAGGATGAACTATTTTTTGGCTGTGAATACATATTAAAAACCTAATTTCTAAGGTAACAGGAATAAGAAGATAATTTCATATATATTTTTACCAACTACGCTTTTCCTATTAAAAAGTAATCCCAATTCTGGTTTTATTTTGCAATAAATTAGTACAGCTGAAGTCATACCTCCTGAGATCAACTATTCCAAAGTATTAACATGCAGCTTTTTGAATTAACCATATTTCAAAGGATATAAATCTATCTTCTTTCAGCAGGGAATTACTACTGACTATGAAGGATTTCATTTGAATTTTCCAGTATCATCCAACTGAGATTTTTCTTCACTATATGAGATGCTTTATTGTTAATGAGGCGAGAAAACAATAAGAAGAATCCTCCTGTGGTACTTTGTTGATTGCAAACTGGTTCTACCTCAGTGTCTTCATCCTTACAGTTGCATTTAAAACCATAGAACTTTGGGGTAAGGCAAGCCCAAGAACTTTGGGTGATGTTTTTAGCCTGGTCCCACAAAACTGGTAACACTGGAAAACTGTAAAACTGGTAACATTTCTTGGGAAACTGGTAGCACGTGACGGCTTTAGTTTCTTTTTTCTTGGTTTTGGTTTTTCTCCAGTACCGGGAACCGAACTCACGACCTTGCGCTTGCCAGGCAGGCGCTTTGCCGCTGAGCTAAATCCCCAGCCCCAATGGCATTAGTTTCTGATGTGCCCGAATATTCAATATAGTCACATGGAATACACTACTTCCTTTAACGCATTCCAGCCTTGTAACCACGCCATTGTGACTGATGAAAACACATGGCTTAATATCCTACAGCTTCCAAATGCATCAAAGAGCTGTCAAAATCCAAGTCTACTGTCGAAGCTGAATTCATTTTACATGACAGGATTTGATTCTACCTGAAGGTTTTAATTTTCTTTCTTAAAATGCTTTGAGATATGTAAAATGCCAAATGAGTCTAGTTGTCACTATTTGGGGTAAAAGTAAGTGACACACATTTTAACCCTTAAATAGTACCTTGGAAAAAATAGTACTTTGTGTTAATTTTAAAACTGAAATTTAATTTTTAGTTTTTGTGACTGAGAGAGCATTCACTTGTCAGCACACGGGCCAGAGTCAGCCATCCTTTCGATAGTCATGTCAGCTTCTTTGATGACAGAGTAAATCAGTGATCCTTTGTATGTGAAAGAACCAGCAACCCCCAAACAACTACGCAGCCCTTTCTAAAAAGTAAGTCTTACCACTTATAAAGCAGTTTCAAAGGGATAATTGTTTTAAACATTTTCGTAAAATCCATACAGTAGCAAGCAATTTCATGGTATTTGAAATCCCATACTATTAATGAGATAATATGTATGATTACCAGCACTATGGGTCTTTCCTCTCACTAGAACTATCTTCATTTTGCAGGACCGGGCACTGATATTCAAAAATTGGCTTTTTGGAAGTAGTAATCCTCTCACCTCGGTAAAAGCTGATGCTTGTTAGAGTTATCAGGGAAGAAGAAGGCAATGCCATTTGACTATTTCCCTTCAAACTTCAGTATCATTAGTCATCATTAATGTTATTATTATTAATTTTGTTTTGTTTTCTTTCCAGTACCGGGAATCGAACTCACGACCTTCAGCTTGCCAGGCACGCGCTGTGCTGCTGAGCTAAATCCCCAGCCCCCAGTCATCGTTAATGAATGACAGCAAGACCCAGAGAAGAAATGAAAGCTTTGCAGTCAGATTGATGACATCTAAGTACCTTAGTGGGCCAGCTATCTATGGATCAGAGATTTCATTTCTAGGCACCCAGCTTTTCACCATTTCTCTGTCTTCCTCTTCCTGGAAAGAAAACCTATACAATGTACTGCAGGAAAGTAACTGAGAAGTCACAGAACTGTGCTATTTTTAGCCACCAACACTGGAGGATATTTAAATATTACACAGGAAGTTTTCTGGGGGAGCACACAGGGACACCAAGCAGGAAAGATATTTCCTATCAAAAAGGTTTGAGAACCTTTCCTAGTTTAAGCAGCATGTTAAACAACGTGCAGCTGCCAGCACAGAAAGGGCTACTCCACACAGAAGGGCTGCAAAAATACACAGTCACACAGCATTCCCGGGGACTATCAATGAGACGCAGCCTGAACCCAAGCATGACTACAGGACAGGAGAAATAAAAGACTCTACCTTGCACAAAGATGAAGACTGTCTGCGGCTTTCAAACTAGATAGGCCCCGGAGAGCCACACAAGACCTTTTAAGGTTTATTGCATACAGTGTTTCCTAGCCATGTCACTAGAACAACTTTATGTTTTATGAACCCACATTTAGAAGCTGTATATAGACCTTTTTACAAACTAGGTTCGGTCAATCTCCCCAAATGTTCTTATCATATTCTCTAGGTCCCAAGATAAAGTGGCCTTGTGTGTTTTGTTAAGTATAGACACCTGGGCTGGGTAAAATCTTCTGGGCTATTGATCACTTGGTAGCCACAAAGGAGAAAATGAGGCAACTAGCTTCTCTTGGGGCTTGTGTCCTATCAAGTCAGAGCTATCTTAAAGAGTGAGCCTCAGTCTATGCATTTATGGACATGCCGGCTCAGTAGTTTAAAGTACACACTTTTCCTGTCATGAGAGAGACACCTATAAAAGCTATCTTAGGTCTTCTCACATTTCTGTATCTCACTTGCTGCTGTCTGAGTCCACCATCACTTTTCACCTAGATTACCTCGTGGCCTCTTCTGATCTCTCCGCCTCCATTCTAACATATTCTACAAAGAGCAGCCAGACACCCACCCACTCCTGTTCCCAGTCATTAGTTATCATGCATTATTTTATTTCATTTTAACACCATCTCAATTTAGCCTACTGCCTTAAATTATTTACTAGTTTTTTTCCCTGTCTATCTCCTCCCATCAGAACACAAATTCCATGAGAGCAACAATCTTGTTTCCTTGGAGTCCCTAATGCCTAGAAAACTCTGTTACACGGCAGACTCTCAATAAATAGCAAAGAATAAATTTGAATTTTAAGTCTATTATGTTTTTCACTCATTGCATTTCATCAGCACTTCTCAACTCCAGGCCTGAGCTGTTTCTTTCTTCTTGTATTTTAGGTGCACAGAAAAATAAAATTATATCTAAGTTCTAATCTCAGCTCCAGTTTTCAGTCACTCCCCCAAAGGACTGCCCATCTCAGCTTGCACACCTTTCTAGGTATACCACTAACACATCCTCCTGTCTTATGAGCCCACAGATTTCAGAGGCGCTCTAAATGAACCATGTAACTCAGGCCTTCTCCTGTGCCATGGACTGCGGTACTGTATCTCACAGATTCTAATCTCCAACCCCTGTGTTTTCTCCTCGGACTCCTATCTTCTAACCCCATGGTTTTCTCCCTGTTGTTTTAGCCATGAAATGTTCTGTTCAAGTAGATATTTTGTTGGTGTATAAACAAACAAGCAAAAAAAAAAGTCAAGCTCTTCTTGAAATGTGTATATGTGTGGGTGTAACTTCAAAAAGGCCTGCCACTGGCACATATGAAGTAGTTCCTAAATTTTGAAACTGCCCTATCCTATTCTGCCTTTACAGAACAGAGAATAAACATACCTGTAATCTATCCACATCTATAATCATACTCAAATATTTTGGATTGCTGACCTACAGATCTCCTTACACAGGAGGACAAAGTAACAACTAGCCTTGATGAGTAACAACTAGCTTAGAAGTAACAAAGTAACAATTAGCTTAGAGGGAAGAGAAACTACAGCTTTGAGATCAGTTCCAATTCATTGCCCATACAGAGTTCAGATGCTCTTTCGAAGATGAGTGATACTTTTAAAAATTAGGGTCATCGTCCCTCTCATAAGAACTTTCTTACACGTGATGGTTGATTGGCTGCACTTTAAAATTCCAAGAATGGCAACGATTATCTTTTAGGGGCAATGTATATCTCTCATATTGGTTTCCTACCATAGAAACGTATATCTTTGTTTTGAATCTCAATACTTTTATCTTCTGGAAGGTAATGTGTCATTAAAGTATCTTTCAGATAATGAGAATACCTTAGAGCCCTGTCTTTAATGAGAGATTCAGTGTAAGAGATTTCCTGATGAACTCATTTCATTAAGTATGTCATTAAGAGCAGACATGGTGAATATGTGTCCTTTTGTGCGGTGAAAAGCCCATTCTGTTTCACTTGTCCTTTCTAGGTTGACTATTAGATTCATCTATAGATCCTATAATTTGTTTGGATTCAATGTGTATCCTTAATCCTAAACAGAGAATGCAGTGAACAATCACAATGATTTTTATAATTGGATATACCTCTTATTATGATCAAGACACTCCTATAGGGCTGTTCATGCTATTGAAATCATTAAATACCAACAAAACATGCTCTTCTAGACTTTTAGAGATGGAATCAACTGGGGACAGATGGTATATACAATAGAATGCTAGGCATTACAGAGTCCAATGAACTCAAGCTGGACAAGAGGGTAAAAGATTATTTACAAAGACATAAACATGGATCAAAATTTCCAGTATTCTCTTTCTGAATAGTTATTGTCTTGTGTTGTACTTTAGCCCCAGCCAAGTATCTCAGTATTCTCTTCACAAAGGGACCAACGGAGAAATGGGTGAATTAGTCCATTTTTCTCTTGTAGTTGTTCTCTGGATTCTATAACTTCTCTCCAGTTCCAGTGGGAAAATTGCCAATATTACATTGTCTGATTAAAAAACAAATTATCACATCTGTACTATTAGAAGATCTGAAATTTTAGGGCACTCAGGAAAAATAAGTTGAAATATCTTGGTTTTGGTAGCTTCACTGCTAAATTCTACTGAACATGAAAGGAAGAACCATTATTAGTCTTTCTCAAATTCTTCCAAAAAAGTGAAGGAGATATTTCCAGACTCATTTTATGAGACCAGTCCTAACATCAAAGCCAGATAAGGACACTACAAGAAAGGAAAACTGCAGGCTAATATCCCTTATGAACACAGATGCGACATTCTTAACAACACACTAGCAAAGGAAATTAAGCAGCATGTTAAAAAGACCACCAGTCATAATCAAGTGGGATTTATGCACACCTGCCAGGATCATTCAGGATACATAAGTCAATAAAAAAGGCACATATTATAAAATGAAGGACAAAAACCCATTTGATGGGGGCTGGGGATTTACCTCAGTGGCACAGTGCCTGTCTGGCAAGCACAAGGTCGTGAGTTCAATTCCCGATACCGGAAAAAAAACCAAAAAAAACAAAAAGAAAGAAAAAAAAGAAAGAAAAACCCATTTGATGATCTCCATAGATGTAGAATAAGCATTTGACAAAATTGAAAATTGACTGCCAACTCTACCTTGATATAAGAAACACACAACTGTGAAAGATTTTGAGTAAAAGTTGGGAAAAAAATCTCCTATCTATGGTATCCTAAATACAAAAGCATCTGAATCGATGGTAAAGATAATACAGTAGAGTAAGCAAAATCTTCTCAATCGGTTTCAAACCTGAAACAGGAAATAGCTGGGCACCTTTTAAAGCCAATAGGTTCAACCCACACAGTAACTAGATAACTCAAATACCCCACACCTATCTGATTACCTGTGATGTTAATTTTGAAAATATACTGTATTATCATTTTCTTCATTTCAATATTGTATAGCCATTCAAAAAAGACATCTTATTCCATGTTATTTGAATGTAATAATTAGGCAAAATAAATGTTAGCAAAACATATTTAGCTAATAGCTTTAAGAAGTAATTTCAGCCATGCCACCATACTGTGACCCATTAAAATCATCAAAGGTAAACTTAACTTATTTCTGAACTATAAAATAATTATGAGAAAAGCATCAGCGGGACCAACACTTTCCCCTAATATCTAATAATATCCAACATGATAGTTTTGTCCACCAGTAATCAAAAGCACATCAGTATCAGCCCGAGGGCAGCAGGACTGTGAGCATAAAAAGACACAGTCCAGTGAGGCATAACACCCATGGGCTCACTGACCAACATGAGAACCAGAAGCTGAAAGTCCCTGTCTGCATAGTCCTCGGAAAGTGAAATCAGAAAGTTCTGGAAGGGTGTTTCTCACTGGGCCTGTCAATCTCTGATCCTCGCAGCTACCACTTTATATTATACTATACCAGATAATTTTTAAATGATTCAATTTGCAGGTGAATTAAAACACTTAAAGCTGACCTTTCAAAATGGGTCATGTGATTTAAACACTAAGAATCAGTACACAAAGAACTTCAAGTTTCCGTGTTTCTTTGCCTACTATCATTAGTAGAATGTTTTCTACTAATGATAGTTCATTATTATGTGTGATTTTAATTGTCCTGAGAAAAGAACATAAGAAGGTTTTAAAAATTTGGCTCTAGTCTTTTTTATTATTATTATTATTTTTTTTTTGTTTTGTTTTGTTTTTTCCGGTACCGGGGATCGAACTCATGACTTTGCGCTTGCTTGGCAGATGCTGTGCCGCTGAGCTAAATCCCCAGCCCCCTTTTTTATTATTTATAGGTTTACACCATACAGTTCTATAATTTTTTTTTTGGTTATTTCTTTTTCCCTCGTTTCATTTACCTCTGTGTATATTCCAGTGCATTCATAGTAGTCTCTGGAAGGGAGGCCAAGTCGAGGTTGGTCAAACTATAAAAGAAATTCAAAGAAAATAAACATTCAGCATATATAAAACAGCTGGACAAAATATAGGCATTCCTGTCTGCAAATGCACAAAGGCCCAGTGTTCTTGATATTTATGAGGGAAACAATCAGAAACTAAGTACATAATTAGGAAATAGTTTTTTCTACATTACTTACAAGTATTAAACTTGAGCATTTCAATAATCTGGATGAATTGCACTGTACATACCGAGGAAAACTGGAGTTAATTTGACAAAGTATGTACCAGGATTTTTATCGCAGAGCAGAAGACGTAGGCTAACAAAAGCACATGAGAATCCAGGATCAAGCATTTTCTAAATTGCACATTTGCAGGACTTTCCAGCTTCGGGACATTCCAGTATGCCCCTGGGGGATACTTTGATTTACTCCCACCCTTAGTTGAGACTCATTATTATTGGCTGGAGTAGGTCTAGCCTTCAGGTTTATTCAGATGGTTCTGGGAACACTACAGAAAACTTTTATGGTAACTTTAAGGCTTTTAACTCGTTTAAATATTACTACTAGACTGTTTACTGAGATCCTCCACCATAAAAGAATGGCGACTGTGCCTCTTCAGCTCTCTTCCAAGTCACTCTCCCTGGAAGGACTTAAGCAAGTGCAAACAGCCGCTAAAACAGGAGATTCAGTGCTGCTCTGGCGTGTCTGCTCCAGCTAACGTGCCTATGGAAGAGCGAGCTGAGCACCTCTGTGAGACTGCTTCCTTTGAATGGTGTGGCAAATTGGGTGCAAGAGCAAGCCAGAGCTTTATGAGCTAAAGTGAGGATCCCAGCAGTGCTAGGGAGCCCAGACCAATACACAAGAAACGACCTAAGGGACACTGTAGAAAGAAAAAAGGCATCTCCACACCAGGGGCTCTGCTCCTTCCCCAGCTTCCTGACCCTCAAGGTGATCACGCAGGACGCTGGCGTTTGAGAACACAGGAAAGTGTTTGGAACACTGAAAAGGATCCTGCTGCAGGAAAATGCTGGGTTCAGTTCCTTTCAGGATTTTATTTAAAAATGTCCACAAAGATCCACTCAATAGTAGCATAAATATGGTTCTGTCACCTGTAAGTTTTGGTGCAGTTTCTTTCATAGAAGACTACATAAAAACACTATAGACTAGTTGATTCCAAACATATTATTAATCTCATCTTGGATGATCCTAAAACAAATGGTTTAAATTTTAAGCAATCCAAATAAAGCTATTTAAAAAGAATGGCATTTTATTTACCTTAATTAAGGAGAATGTACAGATATTCTTTAGTGAGAAACAAAATTATGTTCAAGATTCCCCTTTTTATTCTTTTTTTAAAAAATCCAGTAAGAGATTTTTAGCTTACAGGCCCACATTAATTATATAAACAGAAGCATGATTTCCTTTCATGCTAAAAGATATAAAGAAACCAGGGACTTTTTCTCAATAAAGATATAAAGAAACCAGGGACTTTTTCTCAATAGAAGGGGCTGGGAGCCTCTCTTATCATTTATTCAAAGAAGAAGAGATATCTAAAACAGACAGTAGAAGTAAGAGGCAAATGTCTAAAAATTGAGACCCTGGGTATTAGAGAGACAGAGCATGAAGTTATTGCCCCTTTGTCTTTATACTTAAAATGAAAATAAGCATTATTTCTAAATACCAATAACAACAATGCACATGGACGTTTTACTGCAATTTAAGGTAACTCTGGCTGTCTGATACAAACTTACATGAATTATATGGTAGGTAGAGTTCTTATCATCAGTACCAACAAAGAAATTAATTAGAACTTTCTTCCCATATTTAGAACTCAATTGTGCCATAGATTTTTCAGCTGTCCAAGAAGTACCTAAAGCAAAAAAGGTGAAAGGTATCTTTAGAAGCTTTTGTTCATGAATGTTACTATAGTAGATTTTATGTGGAAATTATTTGTTTAAAAAAGAGAGGCAAATGGCCTTACCATACGTTTGTTCCCAGTTTTCTGTGGCCACTGGCCACCCATATATATCTGGCAACAGCTTGAGTAGAGGTTGTCCACGCCGGCTGTCAATAACAGCTTTGAAAACAATGAAAGAGAGTCAATAGGAGGTCTATGTAGCTTTGGCTCCAATGTATGCACACTCCAAATGTGACCAAAATGAAGAGCACTTACATTCATTTATACAAGACCTGTACAATGTTTTTGCTTTTTGTACTGCTACGATATCTTCAGTTTGGGGTTCCTCAAGGACATCTGAAATGGATTTTGTAAAGTGCATCAATATAATTGTTCACTTGTAGGTGTAATTCACATTTTCAACACAGGTTTAGTAAAAATCTTGTTTGTATCTGAAAGGTACAGTAGATACTGTGAAAGGGAAAAGAAACTGCTCAAATAGGAAGGAGCAACTGGAATGAAGGCGGGGAGAGGAAAAAGAAAGAAGAGAAAAGAATATGTATCTGTATACACAGGTTAGCTAGGATAATTGTATTACTAATATTTTTTGGTTTATTGAAAGGAACTATTAATGTGTAATTGTTTGATCAGTCTTACATGCCTATATCTGGTAATATGTGCAACCATTTTGAAGATGACATTATGTAATATAACAACCATAGTTAATATCCTATCACTTTGTTTTGAAATTCTGTATCATTTTTATTGTTCTCTATGCTGTTTTAAGTATTTGTTTTTGTTATTTTGTTTTTTTCTTTTCTCTTTAAGATAAAAAACAAAATTTATATGTATGTACAAAGATAGCTGGGGTAGGTATATTACTGATCTCTGTAATTTATTGAAAGGAACAGTCAATGCTTAAAATCTTTTTTCTTGACAAATTTTGCATGCTTGAATTTGGCAATCAGATCGACAGATCTGAAAACAGTAATATGCAGTATAAGAACCATTATTGAACTCCTACAATCTTGTATGGTGAAGCTCTGCATCATTTTCAATTTTTTTTTTAAATTACTTGTTATTGTCCTTGATTGTTTGACCAATCATACATTTTTATGTCTGGTGGGCTGAGCAACTTCGCTGAAGATAACAGTATGGAATATAGCAAACATTGTTAATTCTTATCATTTTGTTTTGAAGTCATGTATCACTTTTATTGTTTTTGTGTTATTTTGATTTTGTCTTCATTGTTGTTTTGTTAGTTTTTTAATCTTTAAAGTAAAAATAAATGCTTTTGTCCCTCCTTATAACAAAACTCCATCACAAAGGTCAAACTCCTCAGCAGACAGGTCAACATTCCTCGCATCAAAGTAGTTTCATTGGACAAAGTCAGATGAAAGTCTTTTTGCCTAAGTTATCTCTGTGTGTGTGTGTGTGTGTGTGTGTGTGTGTGTGTAGTGATATATACTGCTCTGCCACAGGTAACAGTTTTCTTTTGAAATTCAGATTGAAAAGAAAATAAATACTAATTCAGAGGAATTTGGGATTTAAAATGGATGTTTTCAATGGTGGGAAAATAATGAAACTTGTGTTCTGCCATTCATACTACAAGCAGATTAAATGAATTGTTCTGCTTGATTGGATATTAAAAACAGCAAATATATAAATACATGTATTTTTACAAAGTAACTTCTAGAAAAGGAGAGAACAGACGGGGGAGATAGTCGGGACTGGAGCAGACACTCTCACTTCCCAGGGAAGGCAAACCACAGTAATGTGTTACAGTAGTTTTAGCACAGAGCTGGAGAAGGAAACCTGGGGTGTAGTTTTAGTAGAAGTCATTCAGTGTTTTTCTTCCATGTAGCGTCATTAAGATACCATCCCTGGGGCTGAAAGATCTTTATCTTGTGTGTTCCTACATACAAAAACAGAACTGCTGAGATGCCAACACACCCATTTCGGGGTTTACCCCTCTCAGTGGCTCAGTGGGGGTCCACCCATCTGGTATAAATTATCAAGTCTAATCTTTTAGCAATGTTCCCTGCAATGGCTAACAGTTGCCTTTTAAAAAATGGATAGAGGAAGAGAGAAGTCTTTGACACAATCACCACTAACCTTTCAAAATTACTTCTAGCTCATCTCTTAAAATGTCAAAGTTACTGTAACGGGAACTGGTCTCGGGGATGACATTGCGTTTCAACCATCCTCCACAGGCATATTTGAAAAAGTCTGCACAAGGCTCCACTGTTGAGTCCATGTTCTGGATCAGTCGAGCAGCTGTAAGAACAGAGAAAGGATTAGACAAAGTGAAGGGTGTATTTCTTAAACTGTTTAAAAAGGAAAAGGAGGGACACACTGCTTCCATTTATGACCATTCACTTGTACTGATGCTCCCTTTTCTTACCTACATCACTGCAGTTCTGGTGGCGTGATGATTATCATCCGTGTTTAGTCCCTTTCTCCTTTACTATAGTTGGCTCCTTTTATTCTAGAATGCTCTTTGTCCTCTCATCCTAAGTCTCCCTAGCCCCTCTTTACTCAAATAAGTCTCTAGGACCACACCCCCGCCAAATAACAGTTTCTTGCTGGTGGCTATTTCAGAATAGACAAGAACACAGGTCTACTTTGCTTTGGTCATCCTGGGCCTGGGATTAACACAATGACATTTGTCACTCTGATAACTTTTAGTTGTCAACTTTACTGTTCAAGGTGATTTGCGAAATATTTCTGAGACTCCAAAGGATAAAGGATTGTGAATGGATTTTTATCATTCTGGTAAGGATCTGAAGTCAGTTATTACTCCTTGGATGGTGCTAATGAAGGTTTTTGTAATTCAAATTTATATCTGATTTGCATGTGTTTATGTAGAGTTCATCTTTGTAAAGTTGACTGTAAGCTTGTTAGCTTTTCTTATGTCCAGGCTTTTTATTTTTGAGAACTATAATAAAAATGCAAATTAACCAACACTGCTTATGCATAAGGTGTGAGACGCTGACTCTGGGAGGTGCTGCATTGAGAAAGATGTGGAATATATGAATTATGACCACTGAAGACCAAAATATGGCCTGATGCCCACAAAGTCAACAATCAAAACAGAGGAAACCCTGCTGCAGTCCTCCTCACTGTATTTCTCATAAGAAGCTGGAATGTTTTTCAACGGAAACAAAAGAGTAACTGAGAATTCATCCACATCAAGAGAGGATAAGTTCTAAAATAAGAAAGAACTCTACTTTCTAAATCAAGTAGTTAATTAAGAAGCTATTTCTTTTTCTGAACTCCTCAAAGCTCATTGGATCAGTCTTGAAGGCTTATATGAGTCCACTTCGTGTTTTCACTGTGGACCCGCACTCCGTGTACCTAACCATTCCGCTGATCTCTCTGTACGCCTGTCATGTAGCGCCTAGGTAATAAGGTGCAATTATCTTTAGTGCAGCCAAGTCCTCTCATTCCTCCTCCTCCACCCTTCCCCCGCTTCCGCAGGTCAAATCAGCTCTTGCTTTGCTATCACCAGAGTCCTCTCATTTCCACTGCTTCCCTCTGTCTCAGGCGTTAAATCTGTGCTCCAGCATTCAAACTGTGGCCCCAGGCCCCTTTCCACTCATCCACCCTGCACTTTACAGGTAGATTAACTTTCACAAAGCATTTCAGCATGCTGTTCCACCCCAAGGGTTTCAATACCTTCCTTCTGCATTCCTAACAAAATCCTGATCCCACAGCATGTTCTAACCCTTACGTATTTAACGAAGTATCCTCTGCTTTTTCATGATGTCATCTGTCTCAATTAGATGAGTGTCTTTACTTTCTGCTCAGAAATGCCTTCTATTTTTTCAATCCTGTAACTTTGACTGTGTTGTCCTGCCACCATTAGTGTATCTTTTTATGCTTGTTCACCGTTTGAGATTTAAAGATTTTTTTTTAGTACAGGATTGAACTCAAGGCCTTAGCACTGAGCTATATCCCTAGCCTTTTATTTTTTATTTTGAGATAGGGTATCATGAAGTTGCAAATTTTCCCAAGACCTTTTCAAGGTCTTCAATTTGAAATTCTCCTGCCTCAGCCTTCTGGAGTGCTGGAATTACAAGCAAATTTCAGGTAATTAAAAAAATAATTCAAATTCTCTTTCATGTAAGACCATCCCATGTCAGCTTGCATCCCACTCATTTTCTGTATATAAATTATTTTATTTATTATTTTCTCTCCTGATCTGTGGCTCCCTTAAGGTAGGGAATGCATTGCTTAGTTCTTTCACAGGGCTTAATCAAGACCTTTTGGGGAAAACTCTAGCACCTCAAGTAAAGAATAGAAACTGAAAGACAAAGAAATCCCTTGAAAAATAAAAATGAAGATCCTAAATACATGGAAGATTATCATGTAAAGCAAAAAATAAAATAACCCCTTGCCTCTAGAAAATCGGAACCTGAAAAGGTATGCTAACCAAAGATCTAAAAACACATCTCAAGTAATTTTATACAATTCTCTTTGAAAAATTTAAAATGAATGTTGTAATGATAGGGAGCATTTGGGAAGCGCTTTTATTTTCTTCACCTCTCCAGGGAAGGGGATGGTTTACGGCACAACACCACAGAGCTCAGTCAACTCCTACTCAGAAGGGCAATGAACGAGTAATGAACAGGAATGAACAAGGAGAGCAGTGAGCACATCTTAATGAGCACATCTTATTGCCTGTGTGGAAATGCCACACACCCTTTAACACACCCCGCATGAGAGGGATGGGACTGTTATAGTTCTGTGCTCAGAGTACGAAGCCAGGATCACCGAAGGCACCTACACATCCCACAGTCCGAGAGAAAAAAAGGATTAGGCTTCCCCTCTTCTATCAGTTTCCTCACCTGATCCCTAGTACAGTCAAACTCCTTGCATCTGCCTAATATACCCAAAAAACAGTATTCAGGCCATTTGCCAAGCAGAGCCGGGAAGAACCAACCTTGCTAACTCCTTCCCTTGGCATTCTGTAAGTTCTCTTGGACCAGAGAGCTCATCTGAGCATGGTGCTTCCAATCACTTCAAAGAGAGCTCCGTCCTGATGAATATTTGGGGGCCATGGGCCAAGGCAAATCTCTGGCTAGCACTTTTATGGTAGGTCTTTGATCAACCTCCCTTTAATCTCTTATCGTGGGTTTGATTCTCCTCTTGCACCTTATCCTCCGACCTCCTCTGTGCTGACTTTTCTTTGAAGTCAGCGGTAGACTTGTGGGTAGAAGGACCGTAGGAAACAGACGCACAACTGCCTAACTGGTTGTGATTGTTTTTCTGTTTTGCACTTTGTTTTGAATTACTCAACCTCTCCACAGAGCCACACCTGGGTCCTTCAGATGTTTCCTTATCTGTGGGTTTCTGACTTCTGTGTAAACAACTGTGGTTTAAAAATCAAACAAAATTATTCACCTTAATAAGTCAACATAAAAAATGAAGTAGGAAGGGCAAAAGCACTGACATGGAATATTGCTGCACAGTGTTACAAAGTGAAAGAAAGTATGCTACAGTTTTTAAAATGCTATAGGGAAGCACAGAAAGCCTAGAGAGATATACTAGGGTACTTACAGCAGTAATATCTGGGTGGAACGGTATAGAGATGTTTAATTTCGTGTACTTGCTTATCTTTATTTTGCAATTTGCATTAGATAAACATGCATTGCTTTTGCAGTGAAGACAAAAGTTTATTTTTAATTTCAGAAAATAGTCACATAAAGACACGAGAAGTAATCTCCTATTAATAATGAGCTTCTTCCTTACAAATGACAATTCCGAATGTGCTGGACTGATAATAAATGACATGCCACTCTCTCCCTACCTAATCTTCTTGTAACATTGTCCCAGCTTATTTGACTATAAGAATTTAAAAGCAAGCTCAGCCCCTATCTGGGAAATTACTAATTACTGTATTCATTACTGAGCACATACTGAGGGTATAAATTAGGAGATCCTCTATAAGCTGGGAAAACATTTGGATTCTTCAATCAGACAGACCTGCTTTGAATCCCAGAGTTAGTCCGCTTTTACAAGGTTAAGTAATTTTCTTGTGACCGAACACCTAGTAAATGATGAAGGCTCGGCGCTTGCACTTGGCTGTGTGTCGCTCTCAGCAGAACCGGGCAGATGGGAAGCAGAGCCTTGTTCAGCCCTCGTGCCTACTCCTTTCCAGTGACTTTACTGTCCCCTCACCCCTCCCTCTTCATGCCCCCCCTCTGCCACACTGTAATACAGCTTCCACTCTTCCGAAATGTCAGCCTCACCATCAGACCCTCATCCTGGGCAAAGGCGGGAGACAGCACCAGGCCTCGGTGTCCAAGTGAACTCCTACCAAAGAGGGCGGGTCAGTCTCAGTAGGGCTTCTGCCTGACCCTTCTTTGGAGCACACTGTATTAAGGAGAATGAAAAATCTCAGGAATATGTTTGGGGTATAGCACTTTCCAATCCTGGCTCAAAGCATGAATCATCTGAGAAGCCTAGGATTCTCTCTTGATCAATTCCACCAGAGCCTTTGGGGTGGGTCTGGGCATCTTCTAAAGGCTTCCTGAGTGGTTCTGATACACAGTCAGGGGAACCCCCCGTCAGACAACAGACAAAGTAGGAAACAAGGGGTGGAAGAGCTTCTGTGTGAAAGTGAAGATGGGTCCACACTTACGCGCAACAGATGTATTTCCTATTTCCCTGTCATGTGCAAGTTCAGATGGGCCACATCAAGGCAGTGCATTTTTGCAGCGACTTCAGTCTCCTTTGAGGCCTGCAAAAATACTTCCAAAGCCTCACCATGTCTGGGGCTCGAGCCCTCTTCCCCCAGCTTCCACTGCTCCACTGGCCTTAGTCCCCACAACCTTCTGCCCAGACCCCACCCAGGAGCCAGTTCCCTCTGAGCACTGGCGCCATCTGCAGGAAAAATGCCTGCTTCTTCCGTCTTTCATTTTCTAGGGGGTTCTAGTACTTTTGTGACCCCTTACCCCAAGAACCATGGGCACCAGCAGGCATGTTTTAGAACAGACTGTAAAGCACAAACTACTATATTCACAATCATTTCTCTTCTCTGATGGCTGAGAGACATTTCTGCTGACATCTCAGGAGGCTCCCTGACCTCTCAGAAGAGACCCAGACACTCCCTCTCAGCCATCTGCTAGCCAAGATGAGACACGGTAGAATTTCAGTTACTGGACTTCTGTTACATTCCTACCTTATGAAGAGGCAGGGCTGGGGCTATGCTGGGTAACAAATTTTAGTGAGCAAGCAAATTAGCAAGCAGGCAACAAAATCAAGTGTGAATG